TTTAGGTGTTTAAAGTATGTTTCTACGACGGGTTTCTATTACCGTCGTCTTTTAAAAAACAACGACGGTTTTTTGATCTACTGTCGTTGTTTACTGGTCGTCTTTTGCCCTTTTTGTAGTAGTGAGTGTCGAAATAATCCAACCCCTCCTTTTGGCGGTATCCTTTGGCAACTAAACATGCCTTATACTTATCAATTGTGCCATCAGCTTTTAGTTTCTTTTTGAAAATCCATTTGTGTCCACTTGGTTTATTACCAGGAGGTAAATCAACCAATTCCCATGTATTGTTTTGCAAAATGGACTCTACTTCACTTTTTATTGCTTCCTTCCAAAAAGGAGCCTCAGGTGAAGTTATGGCTTCATGATAAGTTTGTGGTTCACTTTCAGACAAGAAAGTAAGAAAATCTGGTCCAAAGTTCTTTGGTACTTTTGTTCTTGTTCCTCTTCTTGGTTCAGAATCTATTTCTTGAACTCTTGAGGAACCAGATTTATTTTCTTTGTAAGGATATATTTCCTCAAAGAATTCTACATTAACGGATTCAATGATAGTGTTAACATGTATGTCCGGAATTTAAGATTTCACTATTAGAAATCTATACGCAGCACTATTATTTGCATATCCAATGAATACACAATCAATAGTCTTTGGTCCAAGTTTAGTATGCTTTGGTAAAGGAACTTGTACTTTTGCTAGACAACCCCACACTTTCAGTGTTTTATAAGTAGGTATTCTTTCTTTCCATATTTCATAAGGAGACTTATTAGTCTTTTTATGTGGAATTTTATTTAAAACTCTATTTTCAGTAAGTAACGCTTCAGCCCACATGTTGTGTGGAAGCCCTGAGCTATTTAACATGGAATTAATCATATCTTTAAAAGTTCTATTTTTCCTTTCTGCAACACCATTTTGTTGTGGTGTGTAAGGAGCTGTTGTTTGATGTACAATTCCATGTGTAGTACAAAAATCAGAAAAGGCTTGAGATTCATACTCCCCACCTCTATCGGATCTAAGTACCTTGATTTTTCTCTTGAGTTGATTTTCTACTTCAGCATTATATGTCTTAAACATATTCAAAGCCTCATCTTTGCTATGAATCAAACATAACAAAACTTACTGCAATCATCAATGAAGGATATGTAATAATTCTTCCCTCCACGAGTTGGTGTAGACTTAAAGTCACAAAGATCACTATGAATTAAACCAAGTAACTCATTTGATCTTCCCAAAACTGACTTAAAAGTTTGTCTAGCAAATTTGGATTCCGTACACGTTTGGCACTTATTATTGAAATCAATATTAAATTTTGGTAATAATCCTAAATTACACATTCTATGTAAAGAATGAAAATTAACATGTCCTAATCTAGCATGCCATAAATTAGATGACTCAACAATATAAGTAGAAGCCTTATTTATTTCATTAATAACATCAAAAGCCAATACATTGAGTTTGAAAAGACCATCAGCCAAGTAGCCTTTTCCTACAAAGGTTCCTCCCTTAGTTAGGACAAACTTGTCAGACTCAAATACAAGTTTAAAGCCCTTGTTACTCAACAATGGGCCTGACACAAGGTTTTTCCTAATTTTTGGAACATGCAGCACATTCTGCAGGGTCAGATTCTTTCCATAAGTGAATTTCAGCACCACTTTGCCTTTTCCTTGAATTGCAGAAGCAGAGGCATTGCCCATATACAGCTTTTCTCCACCATAAATCTTGATTGGCAGGATTATGATCCCTTCGATGGCGGCATTCTTGTGCTTTGTGGCCTGGTTTTCCACAAACCCAGCAAGAGCCCTTAATCTTCTTGAAATCCTTTGCTTTTGGTGCAAGGGCAGCAGCTTGCTTGTTAAAATTCTTGCCCGTATTCTTCTTGGATTGATCCTTAGGCTTGAAGGTTTTTCCCTCAACGATATTGGCATTGGCTTCTAAGGCAGACACATCATTTTTGTCACCCTTCCTATGATCCTCTTCCACTTGTAGCCTGAGAATGAGATCTTCCATATTCATCTCTCTGCACTTATGCTTGAGGTATATCTTGAAATCATTCCAAGATGGTGGTAATTTTTCAATTATTGCACCAACCTGAAAGTGTTCATTAATTGAACATCCCTCAGCATGAAGTTCAGAGATTAACTTCTGGAGTTCTTCAACTTGTGCGATGACAGACCTGGAATCAACCATACTGAACTTCAGAAATTTGCCAATGACAAACTTCTTAGAACCAGCATCTTCGATTTTATATTTTTTCTCCAGTTTTTCCCATAATTCCTTGGCTGTTTTACAGGCCGAATAAATATCATAAAGATTATCATCTAGACTGTTCAAGATATAGTTCCTGCAACAAAATTCAGAATGCTTCCAAGCATCTATGGCACTTAGAGTTTCCTTTGAAACAGGGTTCTCTGTTGCCACTGGAACTTCTTCTTTGACAGCATTTGCCAAGTTCATTGTTGTTAAATAAAACAACATCTTTTGCTGCCATCGTTTGAAGTCCACTCCTTTGAACTTCTCTGGCTTTTCAGAGTGAGGATTCTTAGCCCCATTGACGCCATTAGCAGATACTGATTGTTCATCCATTAGTTTCCGTTTTAAGATTGTTGGTGATACAACAATCAGTATTACACTAATAATTTTAATTCAACAATTAAATTAAACAGTAAATAAAATCACAAATTTAAATAAAACAGTAAAATAAAACTTACTGGTTTTTCAGATAGAGGCTTGCAGATTGCAACGTCTTTGAAACAGAATTTCGCCCTTACTCAGTGCTTGTAGTTCTGCAGGCGTCTGCTCCACCAGGATACAACTATCTCAAAACAAAGTCCTAGCACTAGGGCTTTGATTTCTAGCGAATTCTGTATGTTTATCTCTCAGGCTACAGGAATATGACTTAGAATGAAATTTGCAGTTTGATGATGCCTTTACAGAATCAGGGCTCTAGTTTAAATAAAGGGCCGATACCTGTTGGAACAGTTATCATATAACTGTCAAACCCAATCAGACAAAACTTATCTGATATTTGAAATAATTCAAATAATTAATTAAATAATTAACTCAGAATTAATTTAATTAATTGGGTTTAATATTAAATCACAGAGCCCAAGAGGCCCAACTTTTGACTAATTAAGTATAAATTAATTAATCATTAACCAAACTAATTAGGCATTGACCCAAAGGCCAAACCTGTTTCCAATGTGGGACTAATTTCAACTCAAACATGTTTGCAATATCTTGCAAGAACCAATAGCATCACCCTCTTCCTATCAGCTTTGACCCCCACCCTCCGCACCCATCCAATGTCGCCGAGCACCCCAAACCCACCAAAAATTGATCTTCCCATTCAATCACTCCCTACCCGCTGCTCATATTCTCATGCCTGATGATAAGTTCATAATTCCATATGCTTTTAGCATCTCGTTACTTAGTTTTTGTTCTTACTTCTTTCCTATAATAAGCTTATCTAGTTCTTTTAGTGTTTTGTAGGTTAAACAAAGCAAAGATTGGTTTATGAGTTGAAATTGAAGTTTTCCTAATCAAACTAGAAAATATCAAGTTTCCTACTCAAACAATGAGATATCAAGGCTTCCCTAATCACATTAGGAGAATAAGATTCCGAGAGATTCTATAAAGAAGACAGAAGATTTAAGGTTTCCTATTCGAACTAGGTAAAGAGAGGTTTCCCACTTCAACTAAGAACGAAAAGTGATGTAAGAAACAACAACTTTTTTTTTTGGCCAAGATGTAAGAAACAACAACTTATTGTATCACTAATTTCATTTAGGACTTTTTGAAAGCGATGCATCTGGTGATGAAAACAATTCATCAAGTAGTGTTATGTTTGAATAGAACACATCTTTCATCACATTCTTGTGCTATATCTCATCAAATACGCCTAATTATTTCAGTCATGTTCTATCACACAAAATTTCCAAAATCATATATGACCCTTCAATATTGAATGCATAACAGCAATCTTGTTTTGTTGGAGTCTATTTGTAAACTGAATGTTGTGCAACTTTGTCCTTAAGGACCAAATAATAGCACACCCAATTCCTTTCGAATAAGCCTAATTATAAAGACCTATTAGAGGCAACCGCACGAATGATCATTCTTGTAAACTCGGCCCACCGAAAAAAATTACACAGACAGGCACATGCCCACTACAGAGTTTCAGTTGTTTTCACGTATCCTAGAGGGTGTGTCATTTAAAATCTAAATGCAAATTCCAGGAAGGAGCAAAGCAAACAAAATTTTTAAAAGAAGAAAAATAACTACGCCAAACGCTTCAAACGAGCTTAGAATAGTTAAAGTCTATATATAAGTCAATGTCAGGGTCGTTATAATCTGGGCCGTTCCTTCCTGGGATTCATGCGACCCATGCATTAGGCGACGGTCATGATCTATAGCACGCCGAAATCCGGTCGTATTTTAATAATGGGGGTTTTCAATGAGCTTATAGTTTTTAACATTTTTGAAAAATTTAGAGAACAGGATCTCAATTTATCTAAAAATTAATTGCTCAGTTTTCGGACATTAGGAATTAGTGTTCCGTTCTTATATTCTTATCGCCAAAAGCGAATTAATGTTCTATATATCCTTCTCTGTTTTGATCTTCTTGATAAGTACACTCCATCTTTTCTTCATCATTCCAAATGGACATGTTTGGTGCGCTCCTTATTAGGATTTTGTCGATGATGATGATGATGTCAGAAGATGGAATCTCCTCTAGAGGAGATTGAAATGGACAAGTGATGACGATAAAGTATAAAGGGTGAGTTTAGTCTAACATAATTTCGCTGACGTTCATTGTTAAAATCTATTAGATCAATTCAATGACTAAAAATGTACCCATTCTAAATGCATAATTTTGCTAAACATTTTTTCAAACGCATATAAATATAGCTTTTGACCTTCATACATCACAAATTAAAGCTAGCTTTTGACCAAAAAACTAAAGCTTATGGTCCAAAACTACCAACTAAGGGGAGGAAAGGAAGCATCGTCTCAAGTTTCCACCAATCCAAATAAGATTAGAGGTTATCGAAAAAAACTTTTTTATAACCAGGATAATGTCATTATCGGTCAATAACACAGTGATAAATAAAAAAACTAGAATAGCACAAACGAGAGTTTCAGTAGTCAGTTTAGTTACTTGATAAACCGTGTATGGCGGGACCCATTATGATGTCACCAATCCAACTACGTCAAAGCTTTGTAACTTTTGGATGGTTCCTCACTATCTTCAAGGGGAGAAATTCTTGCAGGTGGGTGGGGTAGTGCCTCTCACATTGAGTGGGGATGATGTAATCAAATTTTCACTTGAAGATTCCGATCCCATTTTATTTGCCACATATATACATAAAAAGTTCTGATCCACTTTGTCAAACCCACAAATATTACGAGTACGTAGGCCGGCTCCACGCTAGATATGTTATTCTAAGAACATTTTTAAGGGTGATGTTAAATACAAAATGTTAAATTTAAATTTGATAGTTTATGCGGCAATTTGACACTTATAGAAAAAAATTTAACTCCGCCCAAAATGCCAAAATAAGATTTTATTTTATTTTATTTTATAAAAAAATGGAGCCCATATAATATATAAAGTTTTAAAAAGAGAAAATGATAATAGGGTCCATGACTGAAAAAATATTTAACATTAAGCTTTTTGATATGTTATTGTTCACGTATATCTTCAAACCTTCAAATCCATTGAAGCAACTTTAACTTTTAATTTTTATTTTCATGTGGATGTGACTTGTCATGCTCTAATTGCAGGATCATATGGCCTTTTTCCCTATATGCTGCTAGCTTTAATTAATGCTTACGCATGTGTACGCTATACTTTGCAACTTTCAAGTCTCAAAACGCAGCTTCTTTCTCCGCATTATATATATGTTCTGTCTTAGCAACACCAAATATTATATATATTCTGTCTGAGCAACACCAAAATGTATATGGCAACTTATCCTTTTTACATTGGGATGAATAATATCATCAATCCTCACAGTTCTAATTTCGTCATCAGCCAGCACTTCATCAACAATCAGCACTTCTTCTTCATCAACTTTGCAGCAAGACCACCAACATTGCTTGAAGTTTCAACGTCATCTAAGCGTCACCATGGCAAAAACAACACTCGTCATCATGATGTTGTTTGGTTCAATCTCAGTTGCTTCACTCTTGTGGCTTCTGCTTTTTCCACACTCCTCTTCCTGCCGCCTTTTGATCTATCTAATCTTGTGCTTGTTGCTTTTGCTGGTGGTACTGCTGGGATTGGCCTCCAAACTGGTGCCGGCCGTCGCTGAATTCCTTTCTTCGGCTTGCCGAGGACAGAACCGTATCAGGAGGGCAAGTCCACTTTTGCCCCTCAGCACAATGGATTTGTCCCTAAGATAGTCAATCTGGGTCTTATTATGTTGTTATGTCTCTCATCTCATCAAGTGACATGTGAAGAAGGAAAAAAAGCTTGCGATGACCATTTGTCCTCTAGACCATCACGACTCGTCCTGTCTTGTGTCCAATATAACACCAAGTTTAGTAAATTAATTCACCAAATAATGTTACGTTATGAAAATTGATGGCTCCAATATAATTGTTGTACTGTATATATCTTTGTTGTATACTTTGCACCTATTGCTGCTTTTATGTTTCATGGGAAGAGAGAAAACGCGCCAGCTTTCCTCCTTGCAAAAAGTAGATGAATGTGTTGGCATAAAAAATAAAAATAAAAACTGACAAGCCTAATCACAATGATATTAAGACGCAGAAAGGGCCATTAATACTTGGAAAATGCTAGAGGCACCAATTTTGGGCACCAACTTGCTCACCAACTCTCTAATAGAGCGTGGAACCCGTTGTATTGGCGGGTTCCACCTCTATTAGAGAGTTGGTGAGAGAGTTGGTGCCCAAAGTTGGTGCCTCTATCTCTAGCACCACCCTTAATACTCTTGCAACTAGGCCTGGGCACGATTCGGGTCGAGTCAAAATTTGGCCGACCCATGGGGCTGAACCGATGAAGTCTTCGGTTCTCGAATCGAGTCGGATCTAGGTGAAAACCCGAAATTGAGTCAAATCGGAAATGGGCTCGGTTCTCGGGTCGGTTCTGCCTTGTGATCGGTTTGGGCTTGAGCCCAATTTTACATTTTTAAAAGCCCAAATTATATTTAATTTCAGCCAAAAAAAAGCCCAAATCGAATTCTCTTTCAGCCAAAACCCTTTTTTTGTTGTCAAATTGCCGAAACCTAATAACAAGCCCAAATCACATTTTCACTTCTCTTGCAAATCCTAAAATTATGCATATTCAACCTATAAAAATCCATCTTTCCAAGCATGCAAATTCAATGTATAAAAGCAAGCAATTACAAAATGAAACTTACAAACCATTACAAAAAATAACTTACAAATAAAGCAAGCAATCCAAATGAAACTTATGAAATATTACAACCCATCACAAAAATACACATAAAGTCTAAAGATAATATCCTTGCAAAAAATCAGCTGCCTCCATTCTTCCAAAAGCCTTAACAAAGCAACCTACATAACACTTAAAAGAATTAACACAAAGTTTCACCATAAACAAATCATAATTAAAACAAGATGCAAGAAAAATACCTTCCAACATATCTTCATCACACTAAGAAGGGGGAGTCTTATTCAAATTTGTTGTGGATGTTTTACTCCCCATTTCTACAAAAAATAATAAAATAAATCAAACCAATTTGAGTTAGAACACATAAAAATGAGAAAATAATCAGATTCAAATATACTTATACAAATGAAAACATTACCCATTTCAATTGCTTAATAGAACTCCATCTCCTCAATGCTTGGCACATATTGCAATGAAGATATATCTTCGGACCTTATCCAATTTTGAGAGCAAATCAAAGCCTCAACCATCCTAGGAGACAATGAGCTTCGAAACGAGTCAATCACTCTCCCACTTGTGCTAAAACAAGACTCCGAAGCTATTGTGGAAGTAGGGATTGCAAGCACATCATTTGCAATTGATGCCAAAGTAGGATACTTGAGCCCATTTATTCTCCACCACCCTAGTATATCAAATCATCATTCGCAGGCATTTGAGCCTCATTAGAAGCAGGTTCCTATTCATAAACAGATTCAAAACATATTTAAACACAATCAATCAAAGTTTTCCTACCCATTCACAGACTAAAACACATATATTATCCAAAAATCAGATTTAAACTGAGTTTCCTATCCATCAACAGACTACAACATATATATTATCCAAAAACCAGATTCAAACAGAATTCAATTTCCTATCCATCAACAGACTAAAACATATATATTATCCAAAAATCAGATTTAAACAGAGTTTCCTATCCATCAACAGACTACAACACATATATTATCCAAAAACCAGATTTAAACAGAGTTTCCTATCCATCAACAGACTACAACATATATATTATCCAAAAAACTGATTTAAATAGATATAAAACAGATTTAAATCACACACTGAATGAAAACAGATCCAAAAAAAACAGATTCAAAATAGATACAAAACATATTCAAAACATATCCAAAAAACAGATTCAAAACAGATACAAAACATATTCAAAACAGATCCAAAAAACTTATTTACCTCCATTTAAGCAAAAGCTTTTCGAAACTTTCAAAGCTCAGCAGCAGAGATGCTAAACAACTGTGAATGAAAACAAAAATAGGGTTAGGTTCTAAACTAGCTTCATTCCTTTCATAAATTCAAACCAAATACCCTAAAAATCCTAAAATTAAAACCAAAATTTGAACTGAACCCCAAAATTTCAGAACAGACTCCAATTAGTAAAGATCATCTTTGAACATAAACAAAAAGAAAAAACATAAACTAACCAATCAAAAAAACAGAATAATTTAACAGAAGAACCTAAATGCTAGCAGCCCTAATTTATATAATGAAACTAACAAATCATCATTTCTTTGTCAATTTCAATTTTCAAATAATCATCACAACATAGCATAAACTAATTGGTGGCAGCCCTAATTTGACAACCC